TTATACGGACCTCATGCTTGTGCGAAACTTTCCAAACCGAAAATAGATTAAAGCCACACCCAGGCACAAACAAAACTTCTGGCACAGTAATGTCTATATCCTCCTGTTTCCCGTCGGCTCCGATTTGGTGGAACCGAAGGTCTAAGCTTCCTACAGCTGCAACTTTGATGAGAGCCGAGTCTCCAATTTGAATGAATTGTTCATCCTGGCCCAAGTGGCGAATTTCGTACATGTGATCTATCTGATTTGAAATCATCGCGCTCGCTCCAGAATCGGCCTGCCACTGCTCGCTACCCTTCGGATTCGGCATGTACGGTTGGCATAGAAAAGCTTTGTCTACTGTGGGACGTTTGGTAACACGAGCTACAACTAGCATTCCAGTCACATCAGAGGCAGCAGGCACAATCTTATCAGGTTCAGCAGTCGCGATCATATCAGGCATAGGAGGCACCCTCTCATCATGGACAGCATGCATTATCCCATCAGATTCAGGTTCAGCACTCACAATCACGTCAGGCACACCAGGCACAATTGCATCAGGCTCATGAAAACCGGTCTCCTTTTCATAATTCTCGAACATTGCAGATACACTCGGGTAAGCAAGCCTTTGCAAATCGTGCTCAGAAAAACAGTGATTCTTTTCGTGACTCGCAAGCATTTCAGGGTCAACACCGGGTACAGTAGGTACGAAAACATCAGACGCCGTAAAGCCAAACTCCGACTCAAGAAAATAATTAAACTTGCCTCGAGGGCACACACTACGTGCCATGAAGAGACGAAGAGGGGCGTCGCCAGCAGGAGGTAGAACGTCGCCTGGATCTGGAGAGGGAGAGGAGGAGGAAGAGGTCGCCTGAGGTACGCCGTGGTACTGTTGCTGCTGCTGCTGCTGCTCAAAGCTCGCCTGCTGTTGCGGGGAGGGCGCCGGCTGCTCCGAGGTGTAGAAGGCCTCGTTGTAGACTCTCGGCTGATACGCGTCGGGACTTGCAGCAGAAGGGCAGTATGTTACGTTGGCCCCCTGCTGCTGGTGCGGCCCGCCGTCTTCGGAGAAATAGCCGAAGCCATATCCCCCGCCGGCGTTGCTGTAGGAACCGCCGCTGTGGTTCCCGCCGTGAGCCGCGAGCCCGTACCCGTATCCCGCCTCGGAAGGTGATGGGGACCAACTTGGTGTGGGTGGCGGCGCCGACGCTGCCTGCCATCCCGAGCTGCTTTCGCCTCCGAACGACTCTCCGCCACCCATCGCCACGTGTGCCGGAAAAAATGGCCGTGGGACGCTGGCAAGCTGCCCTGCAGGTACGTTGGCCGGCGGGAAATTACCCCCGCGGCCGCCGCCTCGTCCACGGCTGTCGTAGGGATGAGGCCCGTAGCCGCCGTAGCCGCGCCCCCCAGCGTTGTGCCCCTGCATCTGTCCCCCAGCTCCGGGTCCTGGTCCACGTGGCGGCCCCTGAGGCGCAGGATGGTGGCCCTGACTCCAGCCCGCACCGCTTTGGAATTGGTACGACTGCTGTCCAGGTGGACCACCAACCCGCCCAAGGTTTTGCGATCCGCCACGTGGATGAGCGGCCCCCTCGGCGCCCCTCTTGCCGCTCAAGTAGGCGCTGATCTCGTTGTAGTTCTGGAGGAACTCGCTCCGCAACTTGTGGCAGTCTACGGTCGCGTGTGAGCCATTGGGACCGTGGTACTGGCAGAAGTACGGCTGTGCCGGCTGCTGCTGCTGCTGCTGCTGCTGCTGCTGCAGCTGCTGCTGCCCGCCGTGACCGCCGTGACCCATTCCGACAACGGCTGGTCTCCTCTGCCCGCCGCCCCGGCCCATGCCGGCAGCGACGAGGGCGTGCCTCGTCTCCTCTCCCCTCCCTCCAGATCTCCGCTCATACCTCTGCTCGTGCTCAGCCGTCCTCAATGCCTTCTGCATTTGCACACTCGACGACATGGGGTGGAACAGAACACGCTCTTTTATTCTCTCATTCTCTGGCAGAAAACCCCTAGCAATGTGCTTGCACATGGACACCTCAGCACGATTGTCCCCATACGAAACCAGTCTCATCCACAGCGCTTTCGCTCTACCAAAGTAGTCCATCAAGTTCTCTCCACTCCTCTGACACAACACGTTCCATTGGTCATCTAAAGTCTGTCTCTCTTCGTTCCTACTTCGCCTGTAATACTCCAGGAAAATCTTGTAGTGCTCCTTGCGGGCTCTCAGCCGCGAGCAATTGCCCTTGAATTGCTTGGGCTGTGATCTTGAGAAGCATGAAATTCCACACCTTCCTAGACTGCCTAATTCTGTCCTCCCCAAACGAACGTTTCAACCACTCCATGTTCACTTGAGTCGAAGCTACAGGAATCTCTGCCCCTCTCATCGTTTCTGACACTCCTTCGCACTCCATCCAGGCTTCGAAGGCACTCGTGAAAACTCTCAAAGCTACTTCCAGAGATCTGTTTTTCAGGAAATCATCACTCCACACTGGAACCTCAACTTTCTCTCTCTGCCTAAGTTCTACAGTCTGTGAGGTAGACGTGCCTGAATGGGCACGGTGCCCCTGGTCCTGGGAGTTTGCAATGAGAGCATGCTTGAGGAGGTCGACCAGCTGACGCATAGAATCCTGCTGATCGCCCCCCGCCGCAGCCCTCTCTCCCAGACCGTCTTGATCCACATCGGCGGCGAAAGAAGAGTTGGTTTCTCCACCGCCGACGTCTTCTCCCGCGGGAGGGTCGCCTTGACCTTGTCCCGCCGGAGGCTGTTGTCCATCTCCATCTGGCATCTTGCGCGCGTAGACACCGCGGCCACTCTCTTAATCGAATAACGCTAGCGTGTTGAGTAGCTTTGTGCGTGGGTGCCTCGGCGCGGGGTCCCGTGGCGGAAAGTAAAAGGTGCCAGCAGCTAGGTACTGCCAATGGTGAAAAATGTAGAAACTATCCGCAGGCGTGAAAGCCCTCCTACGTGGTGGAGCGTGGAAGCTCGTGTATATTATAGTTGTGACGTGGAAGCCAGGTGGCGTGGAAGCCCTGATGTAAAGGTATATGTAGGGACGTGGAAGTCCTGAATGCGTGAAGCCGGGTTGGCGTGATAGCCGGAGTAGTGGCGTGGAAGCCGGTGGGTGGCGTGAGAGCCGGAAAAAGGACTTGATTATACACGGAAAAAGGAAGTGGGAAACCACAATCCACGCACACAATTCGGCTGTAGACACCCATACCCTCAATCCTGCAATATGTGATAAAGTTGGTACCACCAAATCTAATCCATACCAACTGTTGAACCCCCAAACTCCCCGCTCCGTCTGTTCGGAAAGTCCTTACTCGAAATAATCTGTCATGCTGTGAGTACATCCAACAGTGTCGAAGGTATAGCCTCCGCAATCTGTGTGATCCCCGTGGCCAAGCTTAAACTTCGCGAGCGTAAGCAGTTGGGTGAATTTCGCATACAGCAGCAAAGAGACAGCATCCTCACGTCTGAGCTCCCATAAAACGTGGTCAAAACCCGCACCTTCCGTCCAAGAGCGACTGTGTTGGCTTTGGTCCGAGTTAGCCATGGTTTTTCATATGCGGAGTCATCGCCGAAAAAATGCGAGCTGATTCCACGATCACGAACTATATTCCGCACACTAGCGGAAACCGTGGACCAAGAACGCACAGGGCGTCCGATTGGGCAAGATAGGCGACGGTTTCCAAAAGAGGAAAACCTCATCGTCGTAACATTCCTGACTACCATCAAAAACAGGGGCCTACCGCGCGGGTGCGCTTACCTTCCCCGAAGAAATATCATCAAGGGATATGGCACCGGCAACCGGCAGGACAATCTGGGTGCCACCCGAAGGCGGGCCGGATTGTGAGCTACGAGGAGAGGCAGGCAATAGCGGTGAACCAGCCGCAAAAGCGTGCAAAACCAAGCGGTCTACGCGGGCGTTTTACGCAAAACGTCGGCGTAGGCCTGTTCATTACAAGCGGCCTTCTTCGAGGGTGCTCGACCTACATGGCCAGCGGCCGCGGGACGCTCGGTACCGCCATTTCGTGACAAAGAACATGAACCTTCCGATTTGGCAAAACCGTTACCTGCGCTCGGCATCGGCGGTGCAGTCGGCACCGTGCGACGTTGATGCTCCGTAGAGGAACGTCGCGAAGGGTCTAGAGGGGACGCGGTGGGTACAAGCGTACTCGAGCCACCGCGGCGGGCTTGAGGCTGTCCCGAAGGTCCCTGAGCTCCGACGAGGTTGACTAGACCACCCGGAGCCGCCGAAACGGTGGAAGGTGCGGAAGCCATGCCTCCAGAGGGCATACACATCGGGGCGAGCGTCAGTGATACACCCGACTTCTTATCGTTCCCGCACCCACACCACAAGGCTGTAGTCGGCAAGTCACGACGGTCGCCCAAGACAAGTTGTGATGAGGCGCGGGGCGATAAATATATGAGAAACAAAAGGTTGGAAGTCCAACACATACCTGTGACGGCGATGCGTGCAAAAGGTCATCGCTGTCGTACCACGAAAATACGAGGTTCCGGAATTCCGCGGGCGCGGGGTTCCAGCGACAGCGGTGGACGCTGGGGCCGTGGCGACACCAACGGCCGGTACCGGGAACGGGGTGTGTGCGTCCGAGTTGCATCTCCCAGAACGGTGGCCTTCGCCCGATGTATGGCCATTTTTTTTACCTGAGTCACCTCCTTTTTCGCATGCGCACGGTAGAGCATCATGCGGTATGGCCAACGGGAAACACGCCGGCACTTCTTCATGCGAGGTTGTGGCTGGGGTTAAAGAAAATCCTGTGAATTCATGAAATTGCCTCGCAGTTGAGACATTTGCCAGAAAATTGCCGAAAGTCTGCAGCCGCAGCCATACATCAGCGGCAGCGATATAGCGGCCGCGACAGTGCAATGGCAGCAGTAGCAGCAGCAGCAGCAGCAATATCAGCAACGCCGGAACAGGGAAAAACAAGCAGCGGTGGTGACAGCGGCAAACACGTACGCTTCGGGAACCAACCGCAGATGCAAAACTATCCGAGAAATTACTTCCTGCAGCCAAGGCCAGGCACGCTCTTTGCGCTGCCGGTGCTTTGTTCCTCTTCAACTGTGCATAATAGAGCAGTCACTTTTGTACTGACAGCGAGTAGCAGACATCACCCACATCATGTAAGCATGCATGTGCAGGTAGCATCCACGGCCGCCGGTCCAATCTCCTGGCTCTGCTCTGGGCGGAGTTTAGTCGGCCTAAGTCTCTGGCCGTGGCCAAAAAAATAGTTAGTTGTTGCGGTGAGACCACCACCATGGGTCATGGTGTATGACCAGCAACGCTGAGCAGGTGTCACGGAAACACTCCATGACAGATTCCTTTCTCGTCCGCGTCCTATTTATAAAAGAATACATGAGAGGATTTGCAAAAAGGAAGAGCATCTCCGGGAAGCAAAACATTGTCACATTAGACCACTGTCAATCGGCCACTCGGCAGCATTAATGGCCGCCAATGTAGGCCACAGTCTGTCGGTTAAGCGGCCATTCGGCAACTTCTCATAACCACGGCTGAGCTCGAGGTGTTCCCACAGAAACACCAGGGTTGAGCTCGAGAAGTTCCAACAGAAACACCCCGCGCCCGAATGTTTTGCTCTTCGTGTCTCCGATTTCCAGGCAAGAAATAGATATATGTTGCCGATTGCGCCAATGCGCAACCACGGATGACAGCAGATATATGTGGTATAATGTCACGCCAGCTAAGCGGCCGGTTGGCAGCTCCCCGTCACCATGTGGACTGGTAGGCACGCATTACAGATGCCAAGGCTGTTTCCTCGACCTCGAAGTGTGCACAGAAAACACACACCCGCGGCCGGTTTATTGGCCGATCGATTCTCCTGTAGCAAAGCAGCGCGGTGAGATAGATTGCACCAAATTGCACAACCGCAGTGTAGCAGACAGCAACATGCCACGGCAGGCCATCAAGTGGCCACTAAGCAGCAGCATGCCATCGCCACTATTTCGATGGCATGATCAGATAGGCACGGGGCTTGCCACCGAAGGGATAGGAAGGAAAGGGTAGTCTGAACGCACGAGCAAAGGTCACGTTATCGCAATCAAGGTAGCATGGACGAGGCCAGCTGTTTCGCAGAGACCCCCGCGTTCCGACGTGACCCTGCCAGCAATCGAATCTTCGTGGAAGAAAGGCCACGGCGCTCACCAAAACCCACAAGTCATGGAAATAGAAGAGCGCCACCAAGCATGGGCGGCGCACCACATGTACATGGATGGACTCGAAAGCCCATCAAGCTGAAGGATAAACAAACATGCACAAGACTCTCCACAAACAGACAAATGTGTCAGAGGGAGCGTTTGTACCCCCCCTCTGAAGCCGGTACAAAAACAATGGACTGAAACAAAACAAAGGGGACAGAAGCAACGCGAAGTGCGGTGCACCAGCGAAGGACCGGAGTCGTCCTGCCGACGACGCCACAATGTTATCAAGGAACAAGGAAATAAAAGGGAAGGGAGCAAGTTCGCTTCTCCTTGCTGGCTCACTCACAGTTGTTGCTAGATTTCATTTTATATCCTCTTCATACCTAGCCCGCGTTCCGCGCTCACAAGTCGAGAGTGAGGACGGGGGCTATAATCTTACATAGTCACAGCGACCAACGAATATACAAAATATCCATGTCATGATGTCATGATCATACAACGCTCATACACTAGTTGCTCCATTACACGTTTGAATCAGGACCTAGAGTCGGCCGTGAGATGCGATACGTGGAAGCGTTGCCGGGGGAATCTGAAACCGAAACCCTTCTTCTGTATTGCACTTTCATTGCAGCTGTACAATACAATGCAACACCCGAGGATTTGAACGAAGAACTCGCTAGGTGAAAAACCTCTAGGCTGATACTTCAGCAACAAGGAACGTGTTGAGGGAAGCGCACGCTCCACAGTGAATCCGCTTGAATTGCCAATGGTTGACATTCGCCCCACACAAGTACTTTGGCTGAGCCTGATCTTTCGTTCCTTGTGATCAGATAGGATGTTCATTTGAACGGTTACCGAGAATGAGTCTCCCGCGTTTGGCCGGAAATGCGTTCCCTGCTCAAATGTCCTCCCCGGCCGGACTTCCAACCGAACCTCTCATGTTCTATGACACCGCTGAGCCATACCCCACAAACTACCGGTTACACTTTTGTGGCCTGGCCCAACCTTAGGTTTTTGGCGGAAGATCGGTTTGGCCGTGAGGTTCTCAACAAGGAGTTCATCCTGCCGGACAACCTCCACCTCACCGGCGATGGCCTGGATGCTTGGGCCGACTGCGCGGAAGCCGCGGTTCACTCTGGGCTAGGGGAAGGCTAGCTAAGGCAGTGGAGGGCCGCCGTTGTCTTGCGTTTTGTAGTATTTGCGTGCGTGTGTATTGGACGCTCGCCTTTTGCCCCGATGAGCGGCACCGCGTATCATGCGGGGATTTGAGCAGTACACGTTAGTCTTGTTTCCAACCATCTCAACAACGAGATGGTAGCAGTGTCTGTATCTCTCTCCACCCTCAAAACGCTACCTATTGAAGCTGGTACAGAGTAGCTTCTGCAAAGCTTCTGATACAAGATGCGGTAGTTGTGCTGCAACAGTTTTTTGTGTGTTGCTTCCTGTGACGAGAAACGTGTTGCGTTGTTGTATACGTACCGAATATTGGGTACTACCACATTTGCCTCCTGGGACATCCTCCAGGAGACTATTGTTCGCCCATATCTTCGGGGGGGCATGAGAGGTGTTGTTTGTCTAACCCGAAAGCCGCTTGCTGGACGCTTGACCCTGTGTAGAAAAAGAATTGCACCGTCGGCTTTGGAGATAGGGGCGACGGGGAACGAAATCCCGCAACCCCAAGGTTGACGTGTCTTTGACGTTGTACATAGCTTGATGCAAATGTTATCCCACACGACGCAAGTTTCTGTTTCAAGGGCTTGGCAAGGCTTGGGGCGATTTTTCGGGTGTGCACCATGTATTGCGCGTCACCAATTCTTGTTTTTATTATCTCCATGGCAACGATCATTTTTTTCGTGCTGTTGAGCTCTCTTCTGGCACTACTGTGAGGCGCTTCGTTTGCGCGCAAGGCCCCCCGGGGATGAGCGTGCGTGAGGTAACAACAGGACGTCTGAGCAAGCCAGTTGCCCCAGTTTTTTTTCGGTTGACCGTTGGTTGCTGTAGGCGTACATACCAGCAAGTGGGTTTCGTCGGCCCAGGGGCGATCATATGGCTTTGTCTACACGGGTGGGCACAAATTTATCATCACGGCTTGTTGCGAGATCATAGATTCCCTCCGTCTTTTAGTGAGTCATGCGTGTTCTTTTTTCTGCTCTTCATCGAGAGGAGCGGTTTGGATTGTTCTTTTCTCTGTCTTTGTTCTTCAGAGACAATTTCATCTCAGTCGTTCCGTGCAAGCCAAGTGCAAGCACAGATGTACACGAACGTCGACGTCCGGACCTACGTCAAGTGACTGTCGAAACTGACTACTGGCCGAATCCGGTGTTCCCACGCCACTTCCGCTGGAAAAAGTAACCTTTTTTCCCTTTGGTGTCACGGAGATTATTGTCTTTCCTCATTAAGTTTGGAATCACTTCGTTTAGGCATGGCGGCGCGCTCCCCCGAGATCTTCTTGATTGCTAAGCAGTACTCGCTATTGGTGCGGGGTTTTCGTCTTCTACCCCCGGATCAAAGGTTCGAACGACGTACGTACTGGAGTGATGACAACCATCGAACGTAGAGTGCTTTGAAAATCATACACGAGATAGGTAGGACCAGTTGGGAAGTGTTCTGCAGGACGCTCCTCCAGTTGTTGCACAGAGCATCAGCGGGCTCGGCTTGTCTGTGTAGTAGCAGCCTCGTCACTGCTTACTCTTCTCAAACCAAGACAAACCAATACTACAATTTTTCACCAGTGGTCAAACTTAAGACACACCAGGGGACACGGGCATTGCCTCAACAAGTTAAATGCGTAACGAAGTACGGAAATCAGTGAAGACATCATGGAGCAGCGACTTTGCGCGTTTGCACGCCCAGATCTGTCGAGGCTGTGCAGCTGTGGTTCGAACGTCCGGTCAACTCTTGGTCAAAAACAACCACGATGCACTGCTTGTACGCACCTTCACAGACTCAAACCTCTTGACTGCAGATGAACAGCAGTGTTCGTAAAATCACTAAATAGTAGGAGTATAGTCTATATATATAGATAGCTGCCTTGGGTGAACAGCCGCTTGGGGGGAATGGGTCTGTGACGGTAAATGATCGACTTCATAGTCGCGAGGGAAGGGATTGCTGCACCCTACTCGCGATAAAAACATCTCAAGCAGGAACCGCAGGAGGGGGTCCAACCCCCCCTTCCTATGTGACCCCGGTTGGGTCGTCTAGCTGGTAGAAGTGGAGGATAGCGGCCAGAGGGGAGACAGAGCCCAATGATGTTGTTGTTGTTGTCTTCACATTTAACCGTATGTCAGTTGCTAAATGCCAAAATCTAGCAAAAGACTCTCAGCCCGTGGTCACGAAAGTGCTAAAGCCATCTGAGGATCTAAAGAACACGCACACATATATATATCAGCTCATATATATCGAGAAAAAGGTATCCAAGAGCCCGAAGAGGTACACCTAAAAATCCCTGCAGCACCGTATGCGTGCCCAAAAACTGAACTGCACGTCCGTCCCACCGTTCGACTACAGTAGCATCACCCCCTCCCTGTCCCACTCTATACCAAAACGGAAGATTGCCGACTACAGCATACTGCTGTCTGAAGTGCTGTCTGTACAAAAACACCATGGTAGGCATGGAACAANATCGACAATAGCTAAGAATCGTTCCACATTGAAGGGGTCTTCCACGATCAGGCACAAAACCAATGCACCCGGGTCAGCCACGCCATCTCTGACGGGACTCTCTACAAAACCGGTGACGACGTTGTGGTGAGAATGGGTTTCAGTCTAGTTCGTGGGGCGTTATTGGNTCCCGATCGTCTGCGTTAGGCACGCAGTGAAAACATCGACACTAGCTAAGAATCGTTCCACATTGAAGGGGTCTTCCACGATCAGGCACAAAACCAATGCACCCGGGTCAGCCACGCCATCTCTGACGGGACTCTCTACAAAACCGGTGACGACGTTGTGGTGAGAATGGGTTTCAGTCTAGTTCGTGGGGCGTTATTGGTTATTATCTGAAACGGTCGACACAATTCTGAGTGTCTAGATGACTGGACCGACCAACCAAGCAGCGTAGACCTAGGGCTGATGTAGCCAGCTGGATGCATCGGACCTAGGGCCCAGGCAATAACCAGCGTAGACCCAGGATTATGAGAGTTAGCCAGTAACATGTGTTTGTGCATTTCATTGGATTAAGGCAACCAATCAGATGGTTGTGTAGTAGGAGAATCGCAGACCACGGACTGACGTGTGACTGTTTGTAACGCTTGGTTGCAGTTGGATCCGTCCGGAAGCTTGGCTCCGTTAAGCCTCGCACATGAATCACTCATAAAGCTTTGCCCTCAGTCTCGCCGTACAGAGCTGATTGCAAGATTGCCGAGAGTCAATAATGAGACACCCAAAACAACCGTGCCGAACACAAGACGCTTGAACACAAGCACATGCACTTCTGACAAGGCTGAGCCTGTTAGCAAGGAAGAGGCAGAACCAGTACCCCAGAGTACCAGTTATCTCCACAGTGGCGTCGTCGGCTTCAAGCTTTATCTAGCTTGCTTGTGCGTCGAGTGTCCACGGTTGGGGTCGTCTGAAAACCGGCAGACAGTCGATACGCGCGACTGTCGATACGCACGACGTACCGCTAGGGTACCGCGCAACGGGGCTGAGGCCGCCGAGAAAATCGCTACCCCCGAAGAAGGGAGCGTGAGCCCGATTGCAATCGAGGTGCCGACGGAGCACTCGAGCATTCCCGAGCGGAGCGTGGATTCCGGACGACCCGGTCGGTACGGGTCCGGCGCGGGAGTTGTCTGTGCCTCCCGTGTCGGGGAGCGCTGCCGCACCGGCCCGCGAGGAAACCGGCGACTCGGTGTCTCTCGCCAGGGAAGTCGCTACCATCATGGCACAGGGGTCCGGCTCCACGTTCGACCAAGCCATGGCGATGGCGCTCGCGACGAAAAAGTGCAAGGACTGCACGCCGTCCAGCGGATCGGAGGACGGCGAGTACCGCCGCGGAGGTGGGAGTCGCCGTGGCAGTCACGGTGGACGGGCCGGTCATGGTGATCGTGGTGGAGGTGCCCGCGGACGCTCCGGCAGGAAGCATTACCGGGGTGGGGACTCCAGTGACGGGTGGCCTGCGTCGGACTCTGCCGGCGAGCACCGTGGTGGTGGTCGCGGACAGTGCTATGGCCATGGCGGCGGACGTTACTGCTCGGGCAAAGAGCGGACTGTTCACCAGCATTCCGGTGGGAGCGGGGACTCGGATGGGCATGGCCGCGGGTTTGGCGGCCGCGCACGTGGCTCTCGAGGACGTGGAGGCCGTGGTGGCGGACGGGGCAGGTATGAAACCGATAGTGGTAGCGGTAGCGACGACGAGGAGGCTCGTTTCGTCGGGAAACACGGTCAGGTGTCCCTTGAGGCCGTGCCGGTTTTGCGTAAACCTGTTGCAGTGCCTCCGGTGTGTGTCGATTCCGCAAAGGCTGTTGCGCCTGCTACGCCTGTAGACGAAGTTGGCCTAGACTCGTTTACTTACGTGAAGCCAGAGACATCCAAACCTCGTGTGCCGTTGTCCGCGGTTAAATCTGAAGTGACATCTGGTGTGAGATCGGACGTTAAACCTGAAGCGGGTAAGTCCGAGCCAGTGAAAACCGAAGCCCTCCGGCCTAAGGAGGAATTGCCCCCGGGGACGGGACGG